AAATAATCTCTATTTTTGAAAGCATCTATGGTTGATGCATTTATCTATTCCTCTATTGTGACTCCAAAGCTCGGTTGCAGCTTGAGCCAAAACATATTCCAAATTTGTGACTTCTGTCACTTTCAATGGCTGTGCTATACTTCTGATTCTAACAGTTTAGCTGCTCTATCAGAAGCATCACATTGTATGATACCATTTTAACTCTTACTCTGAAGTTTGTTTATGACCAGTGATCAAATTCTACTTTTTCCTACTATTTAACATCTACTAAAACACTAAAATACTCATACTTTATCATTTTAAACCATTTTAACATTTGCTCAGTCTCCCAGACTAAAAGTCAACCTTTTTGTCTGCCAGACTAAAAGTCAACCTTTTTGTCTGCCAGACTGAACACTTAACATTTATTGCATTTGTCACAGTTGTGGTTCTAGTTGTAACAATTGCATTGGCAATAGATGATTTTTCATTGGCCGGTTCTTGTTCTGCAAATCACTATTTTATGTGTTGTATTTCAGACAATTCCAAAAACAACACAGTAGTTCTCAAATATAAAAGACATAAATCTAAATCAAGTTGCCTGAAAGGGAGCGGGAAGAAGAGAACTATTTTATACACGTTCTCTACGATTATATGGCTATCGAATTAATTATTTAATAAACAAAAGCACATTCATGGCTTTAAAACAGGACGTCAGAAAATTGGAAAGGCTATATCGCCACTCCCACTCGGAGCCTGTCCACAGGGAGTGGAAAGCAGGTCTCCGAAACTACAAGAAGGCCCTTCGCGGGGCTCGAACTCAATACTATTCAACTTTAATAGAAGCGAATAAAAACAACAGTAGATTTTTGTTTGGTACCGTCGCTAAACTCACAAACTGCCATAGCGCAATCGAGCCTAAAATTCCAAGCTCACTGAGCAGTGTCGACTTTCTCCACTTCTTTAATAATAAAATTACATCCATCCGTGACAAGCTGGAGGAGGTTGCTCCTGCTGTTAGTGGTGGACAGGTTGAAGCGGCATACGTACTTCCCACTTAGACTCTTCAGTGGGCCTTAATAAATTCATGGCTGTGAGCCAAGCAGAGGTGATCTCTGTGGTCACATCCTCAAAAGCCTCAACTTGCATGTTAGACGCAGTCCCGACATGGCTCTTCAAAGACATACTTCCTTTGATAATTGAGCCTATCGTAAATATAATAAACGCATCCATACAATGTGGCTATGTCCCACAAGCTTTTAAAACCGCGGTAATCAAACCCCTTCTGAAGAAAACAAACCTGGACCCAGAAATACTTACAAACTACAGACCGATCTCGAACCTCACTTTTATATCTAAAATCCTGGAAAAACTTATAGCTGAGCAGCTCCGCTGCCACCTGCAGGAAAATGATATGTTTGAAGTCTTTCAATCAGGATTCAGAGCTCATCATAGCACTGAAACGGCACTAGTCAAAGTCACAAATGACTTACTACTAGCTGCCGATAATGGACAAGTGTCAGTGCTGGTCCTACTGGACCTTAGTGCTGCATTTGACACAATAGACCACAGCATTCTACTGCAGAGGCTAGAATGTGATATAGGTCTTAGAGGAACAGCCCTTGGCTGGTTTAAATCCTATTTATCAGATCGATATCACTTCGTCAATGTGAATCAGGACTCGTCGCCTTATTCTGGAGTGGAATTCGGTGTGCCGCAGGGTTCGGTACTCGGACCGATTCTTTTTACTCTCTACATGCTGCCACTGGGAAACATTATTAAAAAGCATGGAATTAATTTCCACTGCTATGCAGATGACACACAGCTTTATCTGTCGATGAAGCCTAATCAGACAGATCAGCTAGAAAAGCTCAGTGCCTGCATAAAGGACCTTAAAATGTGGATGACTCTTAACTTCCTACTTCTCAACCCGGAGAAGACAGAAGTGATCCTACTCGGTCCGAAGCGCCTGCGTGACTCCCTCACTAACCAGATGGTTACTCTCGATAATGTCAGTATTATACCCAGTAACACTGTGAGGAATCTTGGAGTCATTTTTGACCAAGAACTCTCCTTCAAGGCTTATATAAGCCAAGCAACTAAAACGGCGTACTTCCACTTACGGAACATCGCTAAAATTAGGAATTTCCTTCCTAAAAGTGACGCGGAAAAACTCATTCACGCGTTTGTCACCTCAAGGCTCGACTACTGTAACGCTTTACTGGCAGCGTGCCCTAAAGCCTCTTTGAAGAGCTTCCAGCTCGTTCAGAATACAGCAGCTAGGATCTTAACAGGTACCAAAAGGAGGGAGCACATAACTCCGGTGTTAAAATCACTCCACTGGCTCCCTGTGGAGTACAGAATAAAGTTTAAAATCCTACTCTTAACATATAAAGCCATAAATGGCTTGGCTCCCTCTTATCTCCAAGACACGTTAGTGTCGTATCAACCAGGTCGAGCGTTGCGCTCACAAAACGCCAGACGTCTGGTGGTCCCTAAGGTCTCAAAGGTCACTGTTGGTGGCAGAGCATTTAGCTACCAAGCTCCTTTACTGTGGAATCAGCTTCCCATTTATGTTAAGGAAGCAGATACGGTCTCCACATTCAAGGCCAGGCTTAAAGCACTTTACTTTAATTTAGCATATAATTAGGTAATATATAATATGTAGTGTATATATTATATATATATGCTGTATTATGTTATATATTATGTTATATATTATTCAATAATGTATTGTGTTATGTTGTATATTATGTTATATATTATGCTGTATGTTATTCTTTATTCAAGGCTAGGTTTAAAACAGTCCTCTTTAGTTTAGCATATGGCTAGGAAGGTAAGACTCGGAGAAGGTTAAACTCCTCAGAGTGTTAGTCAAGCTGCATAGGGAGTCAGTTTGCTGGGAGAAGTATGGTAACTTGAGCACTATCCTCTCCTCCTTCCTACTTTATCTGTTTAGCATTTTTAGGATTCTGACTGTAGTTTGTTCATTGCTATTCACCCGTTGTCCCATTGTCTGTTTCATGGTACGATGACGGGATCTCTGAGCCTGGCCTCTTCCATCTACACCTGCGGACTGCCCCGCCCGACCCGCCTGGGAGTGCTTCAGTCCTGCACCGGACCTGTCCACGTTCAGCGTCCACTGGTCCGCGTCCTGTAGCTAGCTTAGGTCCTGGATCATTAGTCTGTCTGTCCGGAGGAGCGGATCCCTTTCTCATATGGGTCTCCCTCCCTGTGGGTTTCCCTAGTTCTCCTCCAAGGTTTCTCACTTTTTCCCACTGGGTTTTTTAAGAGTTTTTCCTTGTCGATGCAGGAGGGTCTTGTTGGACAGTTAGTGTCCAACAGAAAGGATTGGTGATGATCAGGACACTTTAGCATTCTACAACATGTATGGACATTTTCTTCTGTGTGTGCTTTATACTGTATTCTTCATGTGTTTTAACTGTTGATTCTCTGACCTGTGTTGGTGATTTCAATGGTTTTGTTAAGTCCTCTGAGATGACTTCTGTTGTGACCTAGGGCTATACAAGAATAAATTGTATTGTATTGTATTGTATTGTATTCTGTCCGCTGCTTCTAACTGTTTAAAGAGTTGTCCCAAACTTAATATGTGTGAATACATCAGCTGTTTGTAATAAACAATAACATTTGACCTGTTCTCCAATGTAGCAGCTCAGAGGCTGCATCAAAAGCAATGTTATATTTGAGCTATTTTTAGATTTAAAATTTTGTTAAACCCTGTCGTTCTATGTCTGCATTTTAATACTACTCTCTATAAACACATCTGCACTAGATCCTACAGATGTGGAAAACAGAAACATCTAAAATCTGACTCCATTTGATTCCTTTTTACTCTAATTATTAGAACAATTTGACCTTATTGATACTTATTTCCACAATAGAACTATTTTGATTATTCACTCCTGTGGACTCACCACCTGCAGGAGGATCAGTGAGGGGCTGGTGCTCTGAGGACTGGGTGCAGCTCTGACTGCCACCCCCCCCGACCCAGAAATGGATTAAGGGGAAGAAAATGGATGGATGGATGGATGATTATTCACTAGTCTAACTATTATTACTATTGTTTATTCTGACACCTCTTCTTAGCGACCCTTCAACCTATAGCTCCTTGAATCCAATGACATTATAGCTCCAGACTATTTCATTCTATTCTATTATTATCTTATTATTATATGATCTATTATCTTAAAGAGTAGATCTGTTTGATGTTATCAGCGCTATTATTTCTCCTTTTGAATTTGCACAACACTAAATTTAGAATGACCCCCTATGGGACAAATAAAGAATTTTATTTTATTTTGGCAACTCCGAAAATTACTTAATAATTTTCCCATTTTGCTTTTTAGGCTGCCCTTTCCATTATTTATTTGGTCTTGTAAATATATGTTTTACACTTCTTTCTAATGATTTAGAAGGTTAAGGACCATGACCACCTATGACAATAACATTATATCCCTCTCTTGGTCGTGGGCCACGTGTAAAACATGCATCTGTGTGTGTGTAGATTACTGTTCCCATCATTCTCCAGTTGCTTCCTCCCGGATCGTCCTCCATTCGTATTGTGGGCTTTGGTGCCAACGTAGAGGCTCATTTCCTCATGATCCATACTACTGTCATCCCTGAAGCAGGGGTAGTTTATCTCTCATCTGAAAAAGAAACATTAGAACATAAAAAATGCCCACTTCCCTGGCATGGTGCAGCCTGTCAATCTTTTTCCAATTGGGCAAAACATAACTGCATTGACAGACGGTGTGTGACATCAGGGCAGGGGCTGTAGCCAAATACAGACTTAACAAAATGTATTGTTGTTGGTATTTTCGTCTGTTTATTAACGTGGTTTGATTGTTTTGAAACATGTGGGTTTTGAGTGCTGTTTCCGGATGGCGATTTATTATGCTTTCTTTGAAAGAGGGTGAATTTTTGGTTTCTTGTATCGTTTGGCTTGCGTTCGTTTTAGTGAAAAAATTTTGGTAGGGTTGTTAGGGGTGTTGTACGGGGAGGGGGTTTGACGGGGGGGGGGGGGGGGGGGGGGTGCGAGGGGGGAGGGGGTGTATACCAGATGGGGGGGCGGAGGAGAAGGGGGGGGGGGAGGGGGGGCGGTGAGGGGGGGCGAGGGGAATGTGATGGGGGATGAGGGGATCGAGGAGGGGGGGGGTTCGGGGGGGGAAAGGGTGGGGGAGGGAGGGGGGGGGGGTGGTCCCCCAGGCGAGATATAGGGGCGGGGCGGGGTAGAGGTGGGGTTTAGGTGGTGGGGGGGGAAAAAACGGAGAAGGGTAAAACACGGAAGGGGGGGTAGGGGGGCGGGAGTTGGACCGAAGCCGGGGAGGCGGGTGGAGGGGGGGGGGAGTTGGGGGGGCGTGTGTGGGGGGGGAGAGAGAGGAAGCTGTGGGTTGCGGGGAGGAGGGTTGGGGAAGGAGTGAGGGGGAGGGGGCGCGCGGGGGGGGGGGAGGGGGGGAGGGGTGGAGGGGGAGGCGGGGGGCTGAGGAGGGGGGGGTGGTGGGGGGGTGGGGGGAGGGGCGGGGGGCAAAGGGGGGGCGGGGGGGGGGGGGGTCAGGGAGGGGGAAGATGGGGGGGCGCGGGGGGGGGGGGTTGTGGGGGTGGGGGGGGGGGGGGGGGGGGGGGTGCGTGGAGGGGCTGCGGTTGGGGGGGGAGGGGTCGGGATAGACACAGTAGGGGGGGTGGGGGAGCTGGGGGGCGAGGGGGGAGGTGGCGCGGGTGAAGCGGTCGCGGCGAAGGGTTCGGACGGTGGGGGGGGACGACGGGGGGAGGGAGCGGGAGGAGGGGGGGGGGGGGAGGGGGGAAGGGTGCTGACGGAGGAGGGAAGGGGGGGGGGGGGGGGAGGGGAAGGGGGGGGGAGGGGGGAGGGGGGTGAGAGGCGACGGGGGGGAATGGGGGAAGGGGGGAGGGAAGACAGGAGCCGGGGGAGGGGAGGGGGTGGGGGGATAAGAGGGAGTCCGCGGGGGGGGGGGGGGGGGGGGGGGGGGGGAGGGAGGGGTGGGTGTGGGGGGGGGAGGGGGGGGAGGAGACGGGTAGGGGAGGGGGGGAGGGGGCGTGGGGGGGGAAAACAAGGGCGAGGGGGGGACAGGGTGATGAAGCGGGGGGATTGGGGGTGGCGGGCGGCGCAAAAGGGGGGGGTATGGGGGGAGGGGGGGGAGGGAGGAAGGGGAGGGGTCGGGGGGGTAGGAGGATGAGGGGCGCCGGCCGGGAGACGGGGGGGTGGGAGGTGAGGGGGGGGGGGGGGCGGAGGGGGGGCGGGGGCCGGTGCGGGGGGGGTCGGGGAAAAGGGTGGGGGGGGGGGTGATAAGGTCGGGGGGGGGGAGTCGGGGGGGGAGGGGGGGAGCGATGGAGGCGGGGTGGGGGGGGGGGGCGCGGTGCGGTGGGGGGAGGGCGATGGGGTAACAGGGGGGCCAAGAGATGGGGGGGGGGGGAGTGGGGTGTGCGGAGGGGGCGGAGGAGGGGCGGGGGGGGGGGGGGGGGGGGGGCAGGTTGGGGGGGAGGGGGAGGGGACGGAGGGGGTGTGAGGGGGGGCGGGGTGGGAGGGGGGAGGGGGGGGGGGGGAGGGGGCGAGGGGGGAAAAGGGGGGGAGAGGAGGGAGGCGGGGACCGGGGGGAGGGGGGGGGGGGGGGTAAAGTGTGGTGGCGGAAATGGAGAGGGGGGAGGGTCGGAGGGGAAGGAGGGGGGACGGGGTGGGGGGGTGGGGGGGGGAGGGAGGAAGGGTTGGAGGGGCGGGGGGGGGGGAGGAGATGGGAGGCCGGGAGAGGGGCGGAGGGGAGGGGGAAAGGAGGGGGGGGCGGGGGGCGGGGGGAGTAGGAGAAGGGGAGGGAAGAAGGAGCGAGGGAGGGGGGCGGTGCGTGGGGGGCGGGGGGTCGGTGGAGGGAAAGTGGGGGCGGGGGGCTGGAGGTAAAGGGTGGGCCTAATGGAGGGGGGGGGCGGGGGGGGGGGGGGGGGGGGGTGGGGGGGGGTAGGACAGGGTGGGAGGGGGGGGGGGGGGAGGGAAAAAGGGGGGCGTGGGAGGGGGGGGTGCGGGGCCGGGGGAGGTGAGAGAGGGGGGGGAGGAAGGGGAGCCGGGGGGTGCGGGTGGAGGGGGCAGGAGGGGGGGGGGTGGAGTAGGGTGGGGGGGAGGAGGAGGGGAGGGGGGGGGTTTAGGGGGGGTAGGGCTGGGGGGGTGGGGGGAAGGGGGAGGGAGCCGGGCGGGGGGGAGGGGTGGTGGGTGGGGGGTAGGGTCAGGTGGGGGTGGGAAGGGAGGGGGCTGGGGTGTCGGGGGACGTGGGGGAGAGGGGTGAGGGGGGTGGAGGAATGGGAGGAGGGGGCAGAGGAACAGAGAACGGGGCGGGTTGGATGGGGCGTGGGGGGGGGGGAAGGGGGGGGGCGAAGGGGGGGGGGGGGGGTGCGGGGGGGGGGGGGGGGAGGGGGGGTGGGGGGTGAGATGTCGGTGCAGAGGGGTCGGGGGGCACGGCGGGGGGGTGGGGGCGGAGGAGGGGGCACTGCGGGAGGTGTGAGGGTGGGGGGGGGTGGGCAGGGGGAGGCGAGGGGGACGGGGCGGGACGGGTGTGGGGGGGAGAAAGCGGGGGGGAGGGGTGGGGTGGGTAGGGGAAGGGGGAGGGTTGGGTGGAAGGGAGGGGGGGGGGGGGGCGGGGGAGGATGGGGGTGGGGGCGGGATAGGGGGGAGGGTAGTTAGGGGGCGGGGGGACGTGAGAAAGGGAGAGGGGGGGGCGGGCGACCGGGGGCGGGGAGGGGTGGGAAGGGCGGGGTAGGGTGAGTAGAAAGGAATGGGGGGAGACAGGAGGAGGGGTAGGGGCGGTGGCGGGGGGGGGAGGGGGGGGGTGTGGCAGTGTGGAGGGGGGGGGGAGGGGGTGGGTGGGTGGGAAGTGGGGGGGGGGGGGCGGACGGAGAGAGTGGGGTGTTGATGGGAAAGGCAAGTGAAGGAGGGAGGACCGGAGGTGGGGGTGGGGCGGGGAGGGGGGGATGGGGAGGGGGGGCGGTAAGGGACGGGGGGGAGGGGTAAGTGGGGGCAGGTGGGTGGCTGAGGGGGGGATGGGAGGGGGGGGGAGATGGGAGGGTAGGGGGTAGTGTTTCGGAGAGTGGTGGGGGGAGGGGGGGGGGGAGGGGGGGTGGGGGGGGGGGGGTAGCGGAGCACGGGGAAGAGGGGATGGGGTAGGGGGGGGGAGGAGGGGCGGGGGGGGGGGGGGGGGAAAGGGGGGAGGGAGAGGGGTGCAGTGGGGAGCACCTGGTGAGGGGGCGAGGTTGGGGGGTGGTGGGAGGGGGAGGAGATTGAGGGGGGGTGGGAGGATGGGGGAGCCGGGGGGGGGGGGGGTTCGAGGGAGGTGGGGGGGGGAGGGTGGGGGAGTGAGGGTGCACGCATAGGCGGGGGAACCCTGGAGGAGGGGCGGAGGTAGGGGGGGGGGGGGGGAGAGGGGGGCGCGAGGTCGGGGGGGGAGGTGGGGGGGGTCGCAAGGGAGGGAAAGCGGGGAAGGGAGGGTGGGGGGGGGAGTGGGTGGGGGGTGGGGGGAAGGGGGTGGGGGTGGCGGGGGGAAACGGGGGGAGGTGCGATGCGCGTAGGGGGGGCGAGGGGGGACCGGGGGGGGGGGAGGGAAAGGGGGGGACGGAGGAGGTAGTGGGGGCTTGGGTGCAAGGGGGGGGGTGGTGGGGGGAGGGGTTGGGGGTGTGGGGGGAGAGAAGGGGGGGTGGGAGGATGGGGGGGATCAGGGGGTCGGGCGGGGGGGGGAGGGGGGGCTAGGAGGTCTTGGGGTTACCGGGGTGAAAAGGAGGGACAGCGGATGGGGGGGGGTCGCGGGGGGAATGGGGGAGGGGGTGAAGGGGGGTGCGGAGGCGAAGGGGGGGGGTGGGGGGTGGCTGGGGGGACAAGGGCGTGGACACTCTAGTACGGGGGAGTAGGGGGGGGGTGGCGGGGGGGGGGGGGGGGGGTTTGGGGGGGGGCGGTGGGTGTTGTGTTTCCGCCAGTGGCCAGTGGGTACCCCCCCGCCTTCCGTGCCGTGTGGTGAGTGGGGGCGGTGCCGCGTGTTTTGAACATAGGAATACACGGGACCGACGTCACGGCTCAAGGCCATGGATGTATTATATTAAGGCATGTTGGGTCTCCGGCGCCATCGTCCTTGGCCACGGCACAAAATTAGCATTTTTGTGAAGATTCTTGCTTATTTGCTGGAGCCAGAGTGTAATTCACTGTAAACTAAGCCACATGGAGTCCCGTGAGATTCCTGTGTAATCCTGTAGGGTTCTCACCACCAACGGCACGGAAGGCGGGCCCACTGGATTTGAAGCCACTGCAGTGGGCGTGGTTTCTATATATTTAGCTTTACACTTGGCGACACATTTAGATTTAACATTTAGATTTAACATTTAGATTTAACATTTAGATATAGATATAACATTTAGATATAGATATAATTATTTAGATATAACATTTTAACATTTAGATATAGATATAATATTTAGATATAGATATAACATTTAGATATAGATATAAAATTTAGATATAGATATAACATTTAGATTTAACATTTAGATTTAACATTTAGATTTAACATTTAGATTTAACATTTTAGATTTAACATTTAGATTAGATATAATATTTAGATATAACATTTAGATATAGATATAATACTTAGATATAGATATGTCTTAAATGTGAGGAAAATGTGCTAAATGTGAGGAAAGTGAGCTAAATGTAGAAAAATGTTTCAGCTAAAAAATTTTAACAGAATTTTTACAAACGGCACCCCATACAATTCATACAAAACTCGAAGTGCTGAGCAAAATAAGAAAGCATTAAATAAATAATCACAGTACATTAAAAAAGATAATTATAAAATACCTCAGTTGTAGCACAGCTAAACAGAACTGTTTTTAACCTGGTTTTAAACCTTGTCAGAGAAGAGGCCTGTCTCACTTTAGCTGTGCTACAACTGAGGGAATTTATATTTATCTTTGTTAATGTACTGTGATTATTTATATTAATGCTTTCTTTTGCTCAGCACTTTGAGTTTTTCCTTGTGTATGAATTGTGCTACACAAATAACTGATACATACCTGCTACAGAGACATTTGAGCTCAATGACTGCTATAAACGGTTTGATGTCTCTGTTAAACAACATTCAATATTTTATACTTTGCTGCAGACTGTTACTGTAGGCTACAAATGTTTTTCCTTCCAACCACAGTGAAAGAGAAAGAGGTGTGAAACCCACCCATACGGTACTTGATGGTGTGCGTGTGGTGTGTTTGCTCGTGCGCGTGTGATTTTTATCGACTAGGACGCAGCTTTTGATTGTGAAATCAAAATAAAACTTTTGCACCATTGAATGAGACTGTCTCTGCCTCCTCCTTAAAACTTACCTGTGTGCTCTATTTAAGTTAATTATATTTCCCAGGTCCTAGACCTGGGTGGCGTTGTTGGTTTTAAATTTACCACTTTATAGTTCGCCCACCGCTCGCGCTACATATGGCATAATTTTTTTTTTTTAACTATATTTTTTGGTTGTAACTTCTACCATCAATTAAATTGAGTTAGTCCAATGAATCATTTTTTTGAGTGTGTACGCAATGCGTACTTTTGAAAATGTGAGGACTCTTGAGAACTGAATTGACAAGAAGTTTGAGAAGTGTTTTTTTTATTACAAAATAAGGAGTAAGTAAAAATAATAAAGTAATAACTGTATTGTTACAGTACTTCCAAGTGTTTGTACAGTGTTTTACAGAGTCAACGCTTTGGGATTCCTGCGTGTTGTACGCAGAAATTCTTTGATTTTGTCCACACATTCTTTCAGTTCTGCCCTGTCCATGCCTGGAAAATGTTTCTTCAGTGTGCCAAGCACAAAACTCTTCACATTTTGAGGCAGTTGTAATTTGCCTCTGGATCCATCCCAATTTGTAGTTTTGGTCCATGTCTGGTAGTTCTCCTCCGAGATAATGTGCCTGAAGAGCAGGCATCCATATCTGCCAACTTGGCCGAAGCTTTGTTGGTGGATTCGACTATGGTCTTCTGGGCCAAAATGACGCAAGCTCACATCTGGGCGTTGACGGGGAATTTTGAGGCTCTCGTTGAAAGAACAAGGCAGGGCCAATGGCGACATCTGAAATTCTGACCACTCTATATCTGGTTCTGGTGTTGAGGCGCTTCTGGGGATTGGTCTGACAGGTGTAGAGTGAGTGGTGTTTGGTCTGATTGGTGTCGAATGAGCCAAAAGTAGCGCCGATTGCAGCTGCCCTAAGCCAGCTCTCAAATCTTGAACGAGGAGTCCGCTCTGACTGGTCTCTCTCAGCCCCTGCAACTGTGGTTGGAGGTTGTCGGTCTCCGCTCTGCTGGCTGCTGTCTCCGCTCTGCTGGCTGACAGGTCAGCGTGCAATTTTTCATTCTCAGCAAGCAGCTGACCTACTCGAGCTCGTTCCGCAGTAAGCTCCGCTGTCCTCACGGCTAGACGCTGTTCAATGTCTGCCATCCAGCGGTCCTTATTGTCACGCACCAGCGACATGGAAACCGCTGCCTGTATTGAAATTGAGAAAAGTCATGAGTCGTGGCTTAGTTAAGCGAGGATGCCTGGCTTATTGGCCATTATACACTACACATAATACAGGAATACACTTACCGCTTTTTTTGTGACGAGACGCTTTGCCGCAAAGATGATGCTGGCGAACGTTTGCCTGGAGTCTGTAAGAAACATTGCCAAAGACATTAGAGGCTGTAGCATTGTTTAATATTACATACTCCTAGGGCCTAATAACATTCACATTCAACATTACATTTAACAACGTACCCGTTGTTTCACCTCGGCTTGAGGTGAGTTTTCGTTCCGTGGGAAGAGAGTCTTGACGACTCTGGAAGCGCGTTCGTGGTAAAAACCTTTGGCTTCCATGCTCCCGAAATACTGGAGTAGGACCTCTGTTAAGGACATGTCTATATATACTCATACCGTCGCTATGGGCGGGCCATAGGGGGCCGTGCCCGTCCCCCAAGATGCTTGTGCCCCCCCAGCCAGTGGTCTATAGTCCACGTGATATATACACAGGTACAGTATGGGCCATATTCCCCCCTCCCCCCACAGACACACACACTCTCTCGCTCTCCCCGGTGTGCGCAATGCGAGACACGGCAGGTGAAAGTATTGATTATTCCCGCATGCAGTGTTGGGCACGTTACTTTGAAAAAGTAATTAGTTATAGTTACTATATGTGTAAATAATGTAATTTGTTTAAACTGTAAAAGGGATGTGTAAAAATCATGGAGCAGTTAAATCTCTCAGATGCAATGGACAACTCTTAACCATGAATAGCACATGACCAAGATCTATAGTGTAGGAAAACAAGTTGTCATGTTGTGATTGCTATTACTGCTTAAACAGATACAAGTAAATCAGAGCAGACGAGATATGGTTGGATTGGCCAAGCGGCCTCAACACCTCGTTTTTAACGCACCACACAGCAAGCATATACAACAGCGGTTTGTTTACAAACGGGGCTTTTTCTAGAACTACACCACCGTACGAACATTTTCCCTTTTAAATGTATGTACATTGCAATCGTGTAGAGCGTGTAGAGTCTTCGAAACATACGCGTGTTATTGTAATTGTCTCACTGCAATACTTGATATCGCCATCGCTAGCAGTAACAATGGCTCTATTGTTGTAGTTACGAGAGGCACCCTCTATCAAAGGGACCACTCACGTCCACACCCCATGGCCCATCAGCAGAGGTGTTGATGGGGCCCCATTCTTAAAAAAGAACAGCCCAATATGTAAATTATGAAACAACACATACACATTGAATTACATTGAGAATAACGTACACACTGTTTTCCAGATTGTTGGCTTGTTTCTCATTCAAAGCCTCTTCCTTCAGCTCCATTGATTTGCTGCTTCCCAATAAGACAATTTACATTCATTACAAAAAACAGTATTCGCCAAATGTTAAAATTCATGCATGTTTACCTTTCCTCTAACGATTGTAACCTTGTATCTGCTGTCAGAAGTTCAACTCCTGCAATAGTGTTGAATATACAATAGACAGGTAGTGTTGAGATTCAAAAGAAGAAAAGTCTGAAATGTATTAATGTATTTGTTCTTTCTTTTTCTAGGACTTGATATCTGGTCCATAAACCGAGGCGGACAGCAATCAAAGATGAACACACCACTTTTATTTATATTATGTCAAATATTCCTTTTTTTCACAATGACTGAAATAAAAGATAGATGTATATTTGAAGCAGCCGCGGCGCCAGGGATAGGCCCGGGTAGGCCGGTGCCTACCAGTTTTTTTCTTGGCCTACTCAAATTTGTTCTTCACCTCTAAAGTCATTAGCCTTTTTTATTAAAAGTCATAATTTAAATATTGTTATTTTTATACACACATTATTGCCTAAATGTTGCGTTCTAATGTTTTAAGAAAATGTAACCCCCTGAGCGTTCACGTTGCTTCAAATATAGTCCTGTTTATTGGCTGAACATTTTTGTCCAATAATCTGCATGATCATATCACACAGCTCGTTCCCGAGAACAAGCAGCTATTCCTCGTCTTCAAGATTGACAACGCTCTCAAAACATTCACAACAGAGCAGCCTTTTTAGTCATTTTAGTTTTAAGAAAGTTCAGCGTGAACTTCGTGAGGTAGAGGAGCCAGAGGCCCGGGCCCGTAGGTCCCAGAGGAGAGCGCAGTCAGGCCAGGTTCCCCTCGGTAAACTCTAGGCCTGTGTGTATGAAACTTGCCCTCTATTAAATCTCTATTAAATCTGACTTGTGTGTGTATTATTTTGATCTGTATATGTTTTTAAAATGTGAAGCGGTTTGTGATCCTGAACTGTGAAAGGCTCTATATAAATACACTTTACGCGACAGGGATGTGTGACCCAGCTATTGCTGTGACAGGCTCTGCACTGCGTAATTACGCACGGCTATTTGTATTCCTCATTCACATCTGGCTTCAGAGTTTCTTTGTGAAATCTGGACCGCAAACACTCTCTGAAGTGTACAGTGCTTTAATGCGCACTTCTACCCCGAGCCAGGCTGCGTCCAAGACACTGCAGACGCTTCATTCATGAGAGCCACCGCTGCATAATATATATGAATTCATTCATTCATTCAATCAATCTATATTTATTCACTCCTACAATTCAAGAGAGATTTTTCTAATGTATAATGTAGTTTCAGAAAAGGTTCATATGAGCACGTCGGCCCAGACACCCTTCTGGATCTTCTCAACTGTAGACATGTGGATTGTAAAGGAAATATGATTTACATCCGCCAATAATTGCTGAGAGGTTTTCTCATCCTCCCTTCTCTCATGACAACACGCGCACGAGTCCTATCACGAAGTAAAAAGAGAAGTTCATTGTTGTTTATGAACAACATGTTAAAGCTGAACTGTATTGAACTAGATTGACCACAGGAATGTCGAAAATCCAGTTCTTCCTCACATATGCAAAACATCTTATCTCGTGATTGGGACGGGGCCGGGGAAAAAACACAGGGAGTGGGCGGTAGGGGGAGGGAGGTGTGTGTAAAAATCAAGATAAATAGTTCAACCGATGGTAATGTATATTTACACTAGATGTCAGCGATGGCTGTGATCAACGCACAAGTCAGTGAGCTCATCAGGAGTCTGCGTAATAGAGGCTGGACGACTAGCGCTATCGCCAAACACTTGAGTTCGGTAAAGTTAGCTTGATATTCACAGATTCGGACTTCCGCGGTGAATATCTTACGAAAGCTACGTTGTTAAACGAAAGTAATTGTGCCAAAATGATCACCTCTACATGGGCTAACTACTACAACATCGATTTTTCTAATCCAATGCGCTGTTTTAATGCAGAGAAATCCATTGAATCCAATGCGCCGCAAGTGCCGAGAAAAGCACTTAGGGAGCGTCAACAAATGCCAATACCAGCTGTGTAAACGAACAATAGTTTTTATTTTAAGCCAAGTACACGCACTAAACTCTCAAATACTATAAATAGCTACCATATCTAACTACTACAACCTTTGTTTTCAGCATTTGTTTCTTTTTTGTATTTTTTATGAATAAATAGGATTTAATATTAATATGAATTTTGAATAACTTTTTTTCAAAAAGGGGCGTGGTCACCAAATTCTCAGGTATCATCAATAACTGCCATATCTAACTACTACAACTTTTGTTTTCAGAAGAAATATCTTTTTTATTTTTTTTATGATTAAATATGAATATTAATTTTGAATAACTTTTTTTCAAAAAGGGGTGTGGTCACCAAATTCTCAGGTATCATCAATAACTGCCATATCTAACTACTACAACTTTTGTTTTCAGCAGAAATATCTTTTTTATATTTTTTATAATTAAATGTAAATATAAATTTTGAATAACTTTTTTTCAAAAAGGGGCGTGGTCACCAAATTCTCAGGTATCATCAATAACTGCCATATCTAACTACTACAACTTTTGTTTTCAGAAGAAATATCTTTTTTATATTTTTTATAATTAAATATGAATATGTATTTTGAATAACTTTTTTTCAAAAAGGGGCGTGGTCACCAAATTCTCAGGTATCATCAATAACTGCCATATCTAACTACTACAACTTTTGTTTTCAGAAGAAATATCTTTTTTATATTTTTTATGATTAAATATGAATATGAATTTTGAATAACTTCTTTTCAAAAAGGGGCGTGGTCACCAAATTCTCAGGTATCATCAATAACTGCCATATCTAACTACTACAACTTTTGTTTTCAGAAGAAATATCTTTTTTATTTTTTTTTATGATTAAATATGAATATTAATTTTGAATAACTTTTTTTCAAAAAGGGGTGTGGTCACCAAATTCTCAGGTATCATCAATAACTGCCATATCTAACTACTACAACTTTTGTTTTCAGAAGAAATATCTTTTTTATATTTTATATGATTAAATATGAATATTAATTTTGAATAACTTTTTTTCAAAAAGGGGCGTGGTCACCAAATGCTCAGGTATCATCAATAACTGCCATATCTAACTACTACAACTTTTGTTTTCAGCAGAAATATCTTTTTTATATTTTTTATAATTAAATATAAATATGAATTTTGAATAACTTTTTTTCAAAAAGGGGCGTGGTCACCAAATTCTTAGGTATCATCAATAACTGCCATATCTAACTACTACAACTTTTGTTTTCAGCAGAAATATCTTTTTTATATTTTTTATGATTAAATATGAATATGAATTTCGAATAACTTTTTTTCAAAAAGGGGCGTGGTCACCTAATTCTCAGGTATAATCAATAATTAAAATATCTCATGGGTTTGACCATGCAGGTGGAGGTTTGGAGCCTCGGCTTCCTCTCTCCTCATGGTTCAGAGTCGTCTCCTCAGATTGTGCTTCCTCTGCTTTTTTCATGTGTGTGCGTGTGTTTTCTGAGGGTTGTGGTATTGTTTACTTGTTTGTTAACACTTGTTTGTGTTACATCCTTGTTATTATTATTATTGACACGTGAAGGTCAGATATCATCAATAAGCACCAGTAAGACCTAACCCCACCTCTCATGGGCACAATGATTTAAACTGATAGATGAGGCCTCTCACCATTAGTCTATAATCTCAGCCTATATATAATATATATATATATGCCAAGGGAAGGAACTGTTTTAAACCTATTATTTATTATTCACATGTTTTTCAAATATTCTGCAATTTAAATATATATGTATAAAAAGAAGATATTTCGTTTGTATAAAAATGAATGTGTAAGCACTTAACATTACAACTACAGTGATGATGGTGGTGGTGGTGATGGGGACGATGGGGGGGCTGTCTGGTTACGTGGCGCATACCTATGTGTGCTTATGGGTGAGCATATGTACATTTATATCTATAATAATAATCCTACACCTGTTCTTCCTTTCATTTCATATATAATAATAGCATAATAATAATGAATATTAGTGTATATGTGTATATATATACATATATATATATTAGGGCTGTCAAACAATTACATTTTTTTAGTTGATTAATCGCATAGTAATGGTGAGTTAACTCACGATTAATCGCATTTTTAACATTCTATTTCAAATCCACTCCAATTGAAGTTAAATGAGATTTACAAATGTAATGACACATTGTTATTCATACCAAATGTACTTAAATCTGTTTGAAGTAAGTAAGTAAGTAATGTTTATTTATATACCGCCTTTCACAGACCAGAGTCACAAAGCGGTTTACAATTGTTATTTTTGGGCATTTGTCTCTCACTCCACACAGAGATGGGAGCGGGGTCGCCGAAAAGGAGGCGCATGCCAGACCTATATTGTACATATCTTTAGCGGTAGGGGAAACCGGAGTAGCCGGAGGAAACCTACGCAGACACGGGGAGAACATGCAAAACTCCACTCAGAAAGGCCCTGGTCCGGCCGGGATTCGAACCAAGGACCTTCTTGCTGAGAGGCGAGAGTGCTATCCACTCAGCCACCGTACTGTGTACGGTGGCTGTACAGGTATGATATTGATCATACCTGAGAATTTGGTGACCGCGCCCCTTTTAGAAAAAAAGTTATTCAAGATTTGTAGTCATATTTCATCATATTTAATCATAAAAATATAAGAAAGACAAACATGCTGAAAACAAAAGTTGTAGTAGTTAGATATGGCAGTTATTGATGATACCTGAGAATTTGGTGACCACGCCCCTTTTTGAAAAAAAGTTATTCAAGATTTGTAGTCATATTTCATCATATTTAATCATAAAAATATAAGAAAGACAAACATGCTGAAAACAAAGGTTGTAGTAGTTAGATATGGCAGTTATTGATGATACCTGAGAATTTGGTGACCACGCCCCTTTTTGAAAAAAAGTTATTCGAAATTCATATTCATATTTAATCATAAAAAATATAAAAAAGATATTTCTTCTGAAAACAAAAGTTGTAGTAGTTAGATATGGCAGTTATTGATCATACCTGAGAATTAGGTGACCACGCCCCTTTTAGAAAAAAAGTTATTCAAGATTCATATTCATATTTAATTATAAAAAATATAAAAAAGATATTTCTTCTGAAAACAAAAGTTGTAGTAGTTAGATATGGCAGTTATTGATCATACCTGAGAATTTGGTGACCGCGCCCCTTTTAGAAAAAAAGTTATTCAAGATTTGTAGTCATATTTCATCATATTTAATCATAAAAATATAAGAAAGACAAACATGCTGAAAACAAAGGTTGTAGTAGTTAGATATGGCAGTTATTGATGATACCTGAGAATTTGGTGACCACGCCCCTTTTAGAAAAAAAGTTATTCAAGATTTGTAATCATATTTCATCATAAAAAATATAAAAAAGAGACAAATGCTGAAAACAAAGGTTGTAGTAGTTAGATATGGCAGATATTGATGATACCTGAGAATTTGGTGACCACGCCCCTCTTTGAAAAAAAGTTATTCAAAATTCATATTCATATTTAATCATAAAAAATATAAAAAAGATATTTCTTCTGAAAACAAAAGTTGTAGTAGTTAGATATGGCAGTTATTGATCATACCTGAGAATTTGGTGACCATGCCCCTTTTTGAAAAAAAGTTATTCAAAATTCATATTCATATTAAATCCTATTTATTCATAAAAAATACAAAAAAGAAACAAATGCTGAAAACAAAGGTTGTAGTAGTTAGATATGGTAGCTATTTATAGTATTTGAGAGTTTAGTGCGTGTACTTGGCTTAAAATAAAAACTATTGTTCGTTTACACAGCTGGTATTGGCATTTGTTGACGCTCCCTAAGTGCTTTTCTCGGCACTTGCGGCGCATTGGATTCAATGGATTTCTCTGCATTAAAACAGCGCATTGGATTAGAAAAATCGATGTTGTAGTAGTTAGCCCATGTAGAGGTGATCATTTTGGCACAATTACTTTCGTTTAACAACGTAGCTTTCGTAAGATATTCACCGCGGAAGTCCGAATCTGTGAATATCAAGCTAACTTTACCGAACTCCTCCGTGGTTGTTCTGACAAAAGCTTAGTCTTCTCACATTCATGAAGTCTAATGATGGGTATACTGTAAAATCCAAGTTTAACGGAACCTCCGGCACGATTTGAACATCCATTGACCCAGCAGGAGATGACCATTTTCAACTTTATCACGACATTAACACGTTTCAGCTTCTTTTTCTATTGTTTTGCCCACAGAATGCCAACACAAATGTCGCCGGGTCGGCAAATCCCCGTATGTAGTGACGTCATGTGGGAACTATGTATACACTTGTGCCTCTCTGCACGAAGGTGTGCCTCTTTTGCACTTCTAAACCCTGTGGACCTCTCATCTATGTTCTGTTTTATTTAAGGAGGGACCAATTCTTCCCCCAAGGCTAAAAACGTCTAAACCTGACTATTGTTCTATCGCGTCCGATAGAACGCCCGTTACGGCGGTCTTGTCCACGCTGCAATCTGTCGAGCCAAAATCTCTCTCTCTTCTATTTAAAACAATGTGCAGATTTTAGAAATGGTATCTGCTTACCTGTGTTTTGCAGAGTAGAGAGCCCCAAGACCCAACAGACCCAGTCTATCTATCTGAGCTCATCTTGCGTCTTCTTTCTGTATCAAATCACGTCGAGGGTCACCATCTGTCGTCAAAAGCAATTTGACTGACGTGTTCAGAATTTGATACAGAAATAAGGCCAAGAATGCAGGAGTTAAAAATAGAACATTTAATTCTCTTTACAATTACATATCGATACAAAACCCTTGGAGCCATTAATTCTCTAAAACTAACCCTATGCTAAACCATCCTAAACTTTCCCTCCAGGCCTGAAAATGTGCAGAGAACATGCAGGCGCTCTGCCATGTTCTCTGTCTCTATCCCTGCTCTTCTTTCCCAGACTGCCCTATCCCCCCTTTTATCAACATGTCCGATGACGTCACATGGTCTGAGACTGGTCTGGACCCTGGTCCCGGTCTTGGTCCTCCATATCAGCCTGAGCAAACAATGCCCCCCCACCCGTGCGGCGCCTGATTGTGTTGGACTTTGCTCTCTGCCAAAAGTGGGAGAGAGCCCTGCTTTGTCTGGTTTTGTAAGCTGGTCCTCCTTTATGATTCCCGTACTATCTTGTGTCCTTGGGGTTTTTCCTGAGTGCACAGAGGTCTTTTTTGGCTATGATGTTCAAATGGTCAAATATTGTCACATCTGTATAGTGTATATTTAAAATATGCAACAGCTGCTCATGTCTCGAACTGTCTCTGGTCAATACTGGTCAAATATTCCATAATTGTTTAATACTAGTTTTCAATCATCTATTATAATACTTGTATAGGGTATTACTAGCTTATAACTGTCCCACCAATGGCACAGATTAAATTCACGTGGGCTACCAAGGAAAATGTCCCATAGAACTCAATGTTAAAACAGCTTGACCTCAGCTGACAGAGAACCTACAGCTTGCATAAAGGTTTGATTTTTTGGGGGGATGTCCCTTGTCATCCTGAACTTTTGTTATTGTTAAATCATTAGATTTTCTATAAATCTACACTTTAATGCAACAAACTTTGCTCTTTTGTCTCTGATCACCAGCCGCTGATTTGTCAGAGCGCGGCCGAGCCCCTCTGTGCACGTGCTAGCCACACAAATGCAACAAACCATAGAAAATATATGGCAGGGGTCCCCAATTAAATTGGCACGAGGTCCACCTACTTGATTAGTTCAATAGATCAGGGTCCGGACATCAGACAAATATTTTATTTCATATAAATCCATTCAAGCTTCAACCTTAAACAACAACTATAGTAGTAAGAACTATTTGAAAAAAAAAAATGAATACAACCTAAATATAGATGTGTATAATTCACACATAACAGCAATGTACTTTGTTTATTTCTACACAACACACCACAAACCTCTCCCAAACTCTCAGAGCAGAGGCTGCAACACATGATGATTGTGGAGGATCAGGGGATCCACACTCTGACCTCCTCCTCCTCCTCACACTCTGACCTCCTCCTCTACACACACTCTGACCTCCTCCTCCTCCTCACACTCTGACCTCCTCCTCCTCCTCACACTCTGACCTCCTTCTCTACACACACTCTGACCTCCTCCTCCTCCTCACACTCTGACCTCCTCCTCCTCCTCACACTCTGACCTCCTCCTCTACACACACTCTGACCTCCTCCTCCTCCTCACACTCTGACCTCCTCCTCCTCCTCACACTCTGACCTCCTCCTCCTCCTCACACTCTGACCTCCTCCTCCTCACACTCTGACCTCCTCCTCCTCCTCACACTCTGACCTCCTCCTCCTCCTCACACTCTGACCTCCTCCTCCTCTACACACACTCTGACCTCCTCCTCTACACACACTCTGACCTTCTCCTCTACACACACTCTGACCTCCTCCTCTACACACACACTCTGACCTCCTCCTCCTCTACACACACTCTGACCTCCTCCTCCTCTACACACACTCTGACCTCCTCCTCCTCTACACACACTCTGACCTCCCCTCCTCTACACACACTCTGACCTCCTCCTCCTCTACACACACTCTGACCTCCTCCTCCTCTACACACACTCTGACCTTCTCCTCTACACACACTCTGACCTCCTCCTCTACACACACTCTGACCTCCTCCTCTACACACACTCTGACCTCCTCCTCTACACACACTCTGACCTCCTCCTCCTCTACACACACTCTGACCTCCTCCTCTACACACACTCTGACCTCCTCCTCTACACACACTCTGACCTCCTCCTCTACACACACTCTGACCTTCTCCTCTACACACACTCTGACCTCCTCCTCTACACACACTCTGACCTCCTCCTCCTCTACACACACTCTGACCTCCTCCTCTACACACACTCTGACCTCCTCCTCCTCTACACACACTCTGACCTCCTCCTCTACACACACTCTGACCTCCTCCTCCTCTACACACACTCTGACCTCCTCCTCCTCTACACACACTCTGACCTCCTCCTCTACACACACTCTGACCTCCTCCTCTACACACACTCTGACCTCCTCCTCCTCTACACACACTCTGACTCCTCCTCCTCTACACACACTCTGACCTCCTCCTCTACACACACTCTGACCTCCTCCTCCTCTACACACACACTCTGACCTCCTCCTCTACACACACTCTGACCTTCTCCTCTACACACACTCTGACCTTCTCCTCTACACACACTCTGACCTCCTCCTCACACTCTGACCTCCTCCTCCTCTACACACACTCTGACCTTCTCCTCTACACACACTCTGACCTCCTCCTCTACACACACTCTGACCTTCTCCTCTACACACACTCTGACCTCCTCCTCTACACACACTCTGACCTTCTCCTCTACACACACTCTGACCTCCTCCTCACACTCTGACCTCTCCTCCTCCTCTACACACACTCTGACCTCCTCCTCTACACACACTCTGACCTTCTCCTCCTCACACTCTGACTCCTCCTCCTCTACACACACTCTGACCTCCTCCTCTACACACACTCTGACCTCCTCCTCTACACACACTCTGACCTCCTCCTCTACACACACTCTGACCTCTCCTCCTCTACACACACTCTGACCTCCTCCTCTACACACACTACTCTGACCTCCTCCTCTACACACACTCTGACCTCCTCCTCCTCTACACACACTCTGACCTCCTCCTCTCCTCCTCCTCTACACACACTCTGACCTCCTCCTCTACACACACTCTGACCTCCTCCTCTACACACACTCTGACCCTCCTCCTCTACACACACTCTGACCTCCTCCTACACACACTCTGACTCTCTCTACACACACTCTGACTCCTCCTCCTCTACACACACTCTAACTCTGACTCCTCCTCTACACACACTCTGACCTCTCCTCCTCTACACACACTCTGACTCCTCCTCCTCTACACACACTCTGACCTCCCTCCTCTACACACACTCTGACCTCCTCCTCCTCTACACACACTCTGACCTCCTCCTCCTCTACACACACTCTGACCTCCTCCTCCTCTACACACACTCTGACCTCCTCTCCTCTACACACACTCTGACCTCCTCCTCTACACACACTCTGACCTCCTCCTCTACACACACACCTCTGACCTCTCCTCCTCTACACACACTCTGACCTCCTCCTCTACACACACTCTGACCTTCCTCCTCTACACACACTCTGACCTCTCCTCTACACACACTCTGACCCTCCTCACACTCTGACCTCCTCCTCACCTCTACACACACTCTGACCTCCTCCTCTACACACACTCTGACCTCTCCTCCTCTACACACACACTCTGACCTCCTCCTCCTCTACACACACTCTGACCTCCTCCTCTACACACACTCTGACCTCCTCCTCCCTCTACACACACTCTGACCTCCTCCTCTACACACACTCTGACCTCCTCCTCTACACACACTCTGACCTCCTCCTCTACACACACTCTGACCTCCTCCTCCTCTACACACACTCTGACCTTCTCCTCTACACACACTCTGACCTCCTCCTCTACACACTCTGACCTCCTCCTCTACACACACTCTGACCTCTCTCTCTACACACACTCTGACCTCCTCCTCTACACACACTCTGACCTCCTCCTCTACACACACTCTGACCTCCTCCTCTACACACACTCTGACCTCCTCCTCTACACACACTCTGACCTCCTCCTCTACACACACTCTGACCTCCTCCTCTACACACACTCTGACCTCCTCCTCTACACACACTCTGACCTCCTCCTCTACACACACTCTGACCTCCTCCTCTACACACACTCTGACCTCCTCCTCTACACACACTCTGACCTCCTCCTCTACACACACTCTGACCTCCTCCTCTACACACACTCTGACCTCCTCCTCCTCTACACACACTCTGACCTCTCCCTCCTCTACACACACTCTCCACTCTGACCTCCTCCTCTACACACACTCTGACCTCTCCTCTACACACACTCTGACCTCCTCCTCTACACACACCTCTGACCTCCTCCTCTACACACACTCTGACCTCCTCCTCTACACACACTCTGACCTCCTCCTCTACACACACTCTGACCTCCTCCTCTACACACACTCTGACCTCCTCCTCTACACACACTCTGACCTCCTCCTCCTCTACACACACTCTGACCTCCTCCTCTACACACACTCTGACCTCCTCCTCTACACACACTCTGACCTCCTCCTCTACACACACTCTGACCTCCTCCTCCTCTACACACACTCTGACCTCCTCCTCTACACACACTCTGACCTCCTCCTCTACACACACTCTGACCTCCTCCTCTACACACACTCTGACCTCCTCCTCTACACACACTCTGACCTCCCCTCCTCTACACACACTCTGACCTCCTCCTCTACACACACTCTGACCTCCTCCTCTACACACACTCTGACCTCTCCTCCTCTACACACACTCTGACCTCCTCCCTCTACACACACTCTGACCTCCTCCTCCTCTACACACACTCTGACCTCCTCCTCTACACACACTCTGACCTCCTCCTCCTCTACACACACTCTGACCTCTCCTCCTCTACACACACTCTGACCTCCTCCTCTACACACACTCTGACCTCCTCCTCTACACACACTCTGACCTCCTCCTCCTCTACACACACTCTGACCTCCTCCTCTACACACACTCTGACCTCCTCCTCTACACACACTCTGACCTCCTCCTCTACACACACTCTGACCTCCTCCTCTACACACACTCTGACCTCCTCCTCTACACACACTCTGACCTCCTCCTCTACACACACTCTGACCCTCCTCCTCTACCCTCTGACCTCCTCCTCCTCTACACACACTCTGACCTCCTCCTCTACACACACTCTGACCTCTCCTCCTCTACACACACTCTGACCTCCTCCTCCTCTACACACACTCTGACCTCCTCCTCTACACACACTCTGACCTCCTCCTCCTACTACACACACTCTGACTCCTCCTCCTCTACACACACTCTGACCTCCTCCTCTACACACACTCTGACCTCCTCCTCTACACACACTCTGACCTCCTCCTCTACACACACTCTGACCTCCTCCTCTACACACACTCTGACCTCCTCCTCCTCACACACACTCTGACCTCCTCCTCTACACACACTCTGACCTCCTCCTCTACACACACTCTGACCTTCCTCCTCTACACACACTCTGACCTCTCCTCTACACACACTCTGACCTCCTCCTCTACACACACTCTGACCTCCTCCTCTACACACACTCTGACCTCCTCCTCTACACACACTCTGACCTCCTCCTCTACACACACTCTGACCCTCCTCCTCTACACACACTCTGACCTCCTCCTCTACACACACTCTGACCTCCTCCTCTACACACACTCTGACCTCCTCCTCTACACACACTCTGACCTCTCCTCTCTCTACACACACTCTGACCTCCTCCTCCTCTACACACACTCTGACCTCCTCCTCCACACATCACACTCTGACTCTACCTCCTCCTCTACACACACTCTGACCTCCTCCTCTACACACACTCTGACCTCCTCCTCCTCTACACACACTCTGACCTCCTCCTCTACACACACTCTGACCTCCTCCTCTACACACACTCTGACCTCCTCCTCTACACACACTCTGACCTCCTCCTCCTCTACACACACTCTGACCTCCTCCTCTACACACACTCTGACCTCCTCCTCTACACACACTCTGACCTCCTCCTCCTCTACACACACTCTGACCTCCTCCTCTACACACACTCTGACCTCCTCCTCTACACACACTCTGACCTCCTCCTCCTCTACACACACTCTGACCTTCTCCTCTACACACACTCTGACCTCCTCCTCTACACACACTCTGACCTCTCCTCTACACACACTCTGACCCTCCTCTCACACTCTGACCTCCTCCTCCTCTACACACACTCTGACCTCCTCCTCTACACACACTCTGACCTTCTCTCCTCCTCACACACTCTGACCTCCTCCTCCTCTACACACACTCTGACCTCCTCCTCTACACACACACTCTGACCTCCTCCTCCTCACACTCTGACTCCACTCACACTCTGACCTCCTCCTCCTCTACACACACTCTGACCTCCTCCTCCTCTACACACACTCTGACCTCCTCCTCTACACACACTCTGACCTCCTCCTCTACACACTGACTCTGACCTCCTCCTCTACACACACTCTGACCTCCTCCTCCTCTACACACACTCTGACCTCCTCCTCCTCTACACACACTCTGACCTCCTCCTCTACACACACTCTGACCTCCTCCTCTACACACACTCTGACCTCCTCCTCTACACACACTCTGACTCCTCCTCCTCTACACACACTCTGACCTCCTCCTCCTCTACACACACTCTGACCTCCTCCTCTACACACACTCTGACCTCCTCCTCCTCTACACACACTCTGACCTCCTCCTCTACACACACTCTGACCTCCTCCTCTACACACTCTGACCTCCTCCTCTACACACACTCTGACCTTCTCCTCTACACACACTCTGACCTTCTCCTCTACACACACTCTGACCTCCTCCTCTACACACACTCTGACCTCCTCCTCTACACACACTCTGACCTCCTCCTCTACACACACTCTGACCTCCTCCTCCTCTACACACACTCTGACCTCCTCCTCTACACACACTCTGACCTCCTCCTCTACACACACTCTGACCTCCTCCTCTACACACACTCTGACCTCCTCCTCCTCTACACACACTCTGACCTCCTCCTCTACACACACTCTGACCTCCTCCTCTACACACTCTGACCTCCTCCTCTACACACACTCTGACCTTCTCCTCTACACACACTCTGACCTCCTCCTCTACACACTCTGACCTCCTCCTCCTCTACACACTCTGACCTCCTCCTCTACACACACTCTGACCTCCTCCTCTACACACACTCTGACCTCCTCCTCTACACACACTCTGACCTCCTCCTCCTCTACACACACTCTGACCTCCTCCTCTACACACACTCTGACCTCCTCCTCTACACACACTCTGACCTCCTCCTCTACACACACTCTGACCTCCTCCTCTACACACACTCTGACCTCCTCCTCCTCTACACACACTCTGACCTCCTCCTCCTCTACACACTCACTCCTCTACACACACTCTGACCTCTCCTCCTCTACACACACTCTGACCTCCTCCTCCTCTACACACACTCTGACCTCCTCCTCTACACACACTCTGACCTCCTCCTCTACACACACTCTGACCTCCTCCTCCTCTACACACACTCTGACCTCCTCCTCTACACACACTCTGACCTCCTCCTCTACACACACTCTGACCTCCTCCTCCTCTACACACACTCTGACCTCCTCCTCTACACACACTCTGACCTCCTCCTCTACACACTCTGACCTCCTCCTCTACACACACTCTGACCTTCTCCTCTACACACACTCTGACCTTCTCCTCTACACACACTCTGACCTCCTCCTCTACACACACTCTGACCTCCTCCTCTACACACTCTGACCTCCTCCTCTACACACACTCTGACCTTCTCCTCTACACACACTCTGACCTCCTCCTCTACACACACTCTGACTCCTCCTCTACACACACTCTGACCTTCTCCTCTACACACTCTGACCTTCTCCTCTACACACACTCTGACCTCCTCCTCTACACACACTCTGACCTTCTCCTCTACACACACTCTGACCTCCTCCTCTACACACTCTGACCTCCTCCTCCTCTACACACTCTGACCTCCTCCTCTACACACACTCTGACCTCCTCCTCTACACACACTCTGACCTCCTCCTCCTCTACACACACTCTGACCTCCTCCTCCTCTACACACACTCTGACCTCCTCCTCCTCTACACACACTCTGACCTCCTCCTCTACACACACTCTGACCTCCTCCTCTACACACACTCTGACCTCCTCCTCTACACACACTCTGACCTCCTCCTCTACACACACTCTGACCTCCTCCTCTACACACACTCTGACCTCCTCCTCTACACACACTCTGACCTCCTCCTCCTCTACACACACTCTGACCTCCTCCTCCTCTACACACACTCTGACCTCCTCCTCTACACACACTCTGACCTCCTCCTCCTCTACACACACTCTGACCTCCTCCTCCTCTACACACACTCTGACCTCCTCCTCTACACACACTCTGACCTCCTCCTCTACACACACTCTGACCTCCTCCTCTACACACACTCTGACCTCCTCCTCTACACACACTCTGACCTCCTCCTCTACACACACTCTGACCTCCTCCTCTACACACACTCTGACCTCCTCCTCTACACACACTCTGACCTCCTCCTCTACACACACTCTGACCTCCTCCTCTACACACACTCTGACCTCCTCCTCCTCTACACACACTCTGACCTCCTCCTCCTCTACACACACTCTGACCTCCTCCTCTACACACACTCTGACCTCCTCCTCCTCTACACACACTCTGACCTCCTCCTCCTCTACACACACTCTGACCTCCTCCTCTACACACACTCTGACCTCCTCCTCCTCTACACACTCTGACCACAACAAGGCTTTTTATGCCAGAAATCCACTGCACTCAGTGAGCACTTAAGTAGGGCATATACGCTGTTTGTTAATGCTTTTAATATGTTTTTGATGTGTACCTCTGTGTCGCTCCTCCTCGCTGCTCCTCCTCACACACCTCTGTCTCGCTCCTCCTCCTCCTTTGCTCATACACAGTCAGTGTGAGCAGCTGAACGCGAGCGTCCATCGCTCCGTACACAGCGCCCATGGCTCATTCCCGTCTCTTTCACGTCTCTGACTCTCACTCGGAGACACTGCTAAAGTTATTTTCACAGCTCCGTAAAGTTTTCTCGAAGGACCCCACATAGCCGCCCTCGCGCCTGCCTGTTTACAAATCGCTTTTGGTGAAAATTTGACACATAATTGTAATAATATACTTTTGTACAAAAAAAACACGGAGGTCCAGAGAAAAGGGTCTCGGGGTCCGGACCTTGACCGCGGTCCGCCATTTGGTGACCCCTGATATATGGGTTCAGATACAACCTCTCTATGGAAAACCAGTCTTAGTTGGGTGTATCTATAGACCACCAAATTCAAATGTATTTTATACTGACAACATTTGTGATATGATGAGTAAAATATCTGAGGAAAACAAAGATTTATTCTTATTAGGAGATATGAACATAAACTGGCTAGATATGAAATGCCCAATTAGGAAGAAAATGTTTTCATTATGCTCTGCGTGCAATTTACACCATTTAATCATGGTTCCGACAAGAGTTAGGACCTATGCCGCAGGCGTTACATCTTCTACTTGTATTGATCATATTTATACAAACGTGCCTAAATCCTGTAACGATGTCATTTCGAAACCTGTTGGTTTTAGCGATCACCATCTTGTGGCTGTAAATAGGAAAATTAAACCTCCAAAAGGTGTACCTAAGATTCTTAATAAAAGGGTTTTCAACAAGTTTAATGTTAATGACTCTTTATCTGACCTTGAAAAAATTGATTGGGACGACATCTGCTCTGAGCGTAACCCAGAGTATGCTCTGTTCATGTTTAACAATACGTTTTGTCAACTTATTGACCAACATGCTCCACTAAAGAGGAGAACTGTTAGGTCAAACAATGCACCTTGGTTAGATACTGAGTTAAAGGCTGCTATGTCCCAGAGAGAGGCTGCTAAGACGACTGCTGTAAAATCGGGCGATCAATTGGACTGGGCTAGGTTCCGTAAATTAAGAAACTCTGTGACTAAATTAAACTTGCTTAAAAAGAGACAACACTATATAAGAAAATTTAGTGAGGTTAGTCATGATTTTAAAATGATCTGGAAAACATTTAATTCACTTACAACTGGACACATTGAGACTGATAATGGATGCATTTGTTTTTTTTTTAAACCTGATGAAATTGCCAATTACTTTAACCGTTACTACAACGATAGATACAAATATTGAAAGCTAACATGAGTGTTGGTGAGTCTGCATCTTCTTCATATATTATTAAAAACATAATCATGGACAATAAGCAATGTGTGTTTGACCTAACTGCTGTCAGTATAGAAAAAGTGCAAAACCTTCTGAGTTCCTTGCCTGAAAACATGTCGGCTGGCCTAGACAATATAGAAGGCAAGTTTCTGAAGCTAGCTGCCAAGTTTGTGTCACGCCCTTTATGCCACATATTTAATAGATGTTTAAGGAGTGGCGTCTTCCTTTCCCAATGGAAAAAGTCTAAAATTATCCCTATACCAAAAAATAAAAACACATCATTTAACGGGGCAAACAGTAGGCCCATAAGCATATTACCTGTTTTAGGGAAAATTATGGAGACGTTAATACGTGACCAAATACAAACATATTTTGTTGACTGCAGCCTGCTAACTAAGTTCCAGCATGCATATAAACCTAATCATTCCACCACTACTGCATTACAATACAATACAATACAATTTATTCTTGTATAGCCCTAGGTCACAACAGAAGTCATCTCAGAGGACTTAACAAAACCATTGAAATCACCAACACAGGTCAGAGAATCAACAGTTAAAACACATGGAAATATAAAGCACACACAGAAGAAAATGTCCATACATGTTGTAGAATGCTAAAGTGTCCTGATCATCACCAATCCTTTCTGTTGGACACTAACTGTCCAACAAGACCCTCCTGCATCGACAAGGAACAACTCTTAAAAAACCCAGTGGGAAAAAGTGAGAAACCTTGGGGAGACCTAGGGAAACCCACAGGGAGGGAGACCCATATGAGAAAGGGATCCGCTCCTCCGGACGGATAGGCTAATGATCTAGGACCTAAGCTATCTACAGAACGTGGACCAGTGGCCGCTGAACGTGGACAGGTCCGGCGCAGGACCGAAGCACTCCCAGGCGGGTCGGGCGGGGCAGTCCGCAGGCGCAGACGGAAGAGGCCAGGCTCAGAGATCCCGTCATCGTACCATGAAACAGACAATGGGACAACGGGTGAATAGCAATGAACAAACTACAGTCAGAATCCTAAAAATGCTAAACAGATAAAGTAGGAAGGAGGAGAGGATAGTGCTCAAGTTACCATACTTCTCCCAGCAAACTGACTCCATTGGTCCATATGATTGACAACTGGTACCAGGAATTAGATAAAGGTGGCTTAGTTGGGACTATATTTTTAGATTTTAGTGCAGCCTTTGATCTTATCAATCATGACCTTCTAATTGCCAAGTTAAGGTGCTATGGATTTTCAACAAGATTGTTGTTCCTTATAAAGGATTATCTAACAGACCGGAGTCAGCAGGTCTATTATAAGGGTTCCCTGTCCAAAGAATCTGATATTCACTGTGGCTTACCTCAAGGCAGCTGCCTCGGCCCACTCCTCTTCTCTGTTTACACTAATGATTTACCTTATGTGCTAAACAAAACTGAAGTTGTCATGTATGCTGACGACTCGACCATGTATTATTCCAATTCAAATGTGAATGAAATATCAAATGTATTAAAAGATGATTTGGCCGAGGTCCTCAAGTGGGTTATAAGCAACAACATGATTTTAAATATTTCTAAAACAAGATCTATGCTTGTTGGAAGTAAACAACGTCTACATGAAAAGTGTCAATTAAAGTTGACTATGGAGGGAGCCGAGTTAGAACAGGTTGAGCAAATTAAACTTTTAGGTGTTATAGTGGATCACCATCTCTCATGGTCACCGCACATATACCATGTGATTAGTAAGATGGGTAGCGCTATTGGTGTGGTGAGAAGGTGTTCTTATTTTGTACCTACAACAATTTTGAAGCAGGTGGTCCAATCCCTCGTTTTATCTAATCTTGAATACTGCTCCATTATATGGTCTGCTGCATGCAACACAGATATATCTAGATTGCAAGTTGTACAGAACAAGGCTGCAAGACTGGTTTTAAATTGTTCTTATTTTACCAGTATAAACAAAATGCATAACATTTTATCCTGGCCTTTGGTTCACAATAAGCTACAGTATAGCCTTTTAATATTTCTGAAAAAAGCAATACTCACTGGTGAACCAATTTCAATGTTTGAGAAAATCACATATGTACATCAGATTCACTCCCATTCTACTAGGCAGGCTCAAAATGCTGACTTGGTCGTCAATCGTCCCAGAACAAAATCATTGAAAAGGACTGTTATTTTCAGAGCGACTCAACTTTGGAATGAGCTTCCTAGGGAGATGAGAGATCAAACTTCTCTACATATTTTTAAAAGAAAACTCAAATATCAAATGTGCAATGCATCATTATAATGCATGGCTTCATGCCTTGATGCCTTGTGTTGTTTACAGATACTGACTTGGCAATTGATCTAATTGATCTATTTGATCTATGTTTTTAACATTATGGTAGTGAATTCATGCATTGTATTGAATAATTTACTGTATTAATGAATGTATTTATATTTTTGTTTTTTATTTTATTTTATTTTTTGTAATACAGTCGTCTTAACTGGGACCCCAGGAAGATTAGCAACCACTTTGGTGGAAGCTAATGGGGATCCCCAATAAACAAATAAACAAATAAACACAACAGATGACGCACCAGCTGAAGAGTGATTGACAGCGCTTCTGACCAATCAGAATTGATGTTTGCTGACGTCAGATTGTATTTATATCTACTCAGCCGGGCTAGAAACAGGGCCAAGCCGTTACCAAAAAAGTACCGGATAGCGGCTAAAGCGAGCTGGGGGAAACGCCTGCAAACCGGGGAGAATCAAGTCGAGTCAAGCAGAGTCGGGCCCGTGGAAACGGCCCTAAAGAGATTGAACAGGGCGCCATCTTGGATCACCAGGGCTTGGTCTACACTCATGATGGCCAATGTATGAGGTAAAAAATGAACGTTGCCCGATCAAAGACGACACAACACACACACAACTCTTTAAAGACATTCCCCCTTGGGCTGGCGAAGCAGGACAGTTGGCATGGGCAGTGAAGTGAGGAAGCCACTGGGCTGGGAACTCCACAGCGGGACGCCCCAGGAGCCGGAGCTGTGAAGCATATACACATTGACAGTGTGGCTTATTGAGACGATTATAAACTTATCTGCTGTTCCTTCATCTGTGTTTCACTGATCTGCTAACACTATTTTTCTTAGTTTAAGATTTAGAGATCTTTTATTTGTCCCATAGTGGGGAAATGTCAGTAAATTCAAGCTTTATTGATTATCTCATAACATTTTGATCATTATCAGTTTGGTAATTTAAGTTGAATTTATGAAAGTGTAAACCCCCTTTTTTTTAAAAAAATGGCTTCATCCAAATTACCACTTTATTAAAGTTTAAAAATGGGGCGAAAGTAGCTCAGTTGGACCTACTATAACAGCTCCCACTAATGTCTGCTGTCGTTGTGTCCTTGGGCAAGACACTAAACCCTACATTGCCTGAAGCTCCCGCTTAAACACAAGGGCTGTGGCACCACTGATGTACAGTAGCAGCCATCTTCCTGTGGACTCACCACCTGCAGAGGCTCAGCGAGGGACTGGTGCTATGAGCATCAGGTGGCAGCTCTCATTGCCACCCCCCGACCCAGAAATGGACCAATAAAGGGGCAGAAAATGAATGAAAAATGGCTGAAAGCCAGTGTACCGCTGGAGATGTAAACTTATGAGCACAAATGTCTGCCTCCCATGTAAAGGAACAGACTATCTATCAGAAATCAATCTTGACTACAATCAGGTACTATACACAGCAGACCTCAGTTCTTCTATTCCTTAAAAAAAATCCTAAATGTAGACAGTGATCTGCATCACCACAAAATAGAATATTTATTTTCCTAATGACATTTTCTCTTTTTTTTTTGTTGAGACAATACATGTTTCCTGAAACGTCAACAACTACAGTATCTGCTCATAAATGGGCGGCACGGTGGCGGAATGGATAGCACTCTCTCTTCTCAGCTTGAAGGTCAAATCTTTTCTGAGTGGAGTTTGCATGTTCTTCTCATGTTTGCGTAGGCTAATGTCCGCTTATTATTTACATACGGCAGGGGTCGGCAACCCGCGGCTCCGGAGCCGCATGCGGCTCTTTAGTGCCCCTTGAGTGGCTCCTGGAGCCTTTTCAAAAATGTCTGAAAATGGAGTGGGAAGGGTATATTTTATTTATAGTTTCAATGTGGTTTCTGTAGGAAGGACAACATTCTTAATGTGTTCCAATGCAGTAAAAATGTGCATAAGAAATATTTAATTTTAACATTTGTGTCAACTGAGATGTGCGTCATATCCTGCGACGCGCGGTTACGCGGCCCCGCGCCGGGCGGCCGCTGTTGTAAACAAACCAGCATGTGCCACATGAGTCCGCATAAATCCCAAAGCTAAAAAGGGAAATACTTGATAAGAACCAGGAACTCAAGGACAAATGGACTGTAACATTTGGCTCTCATTGAGTCAATGAGGAAGGACTGCTTCATGTTTGCTTTGTAATGAGAATATAGTGAAGAACAAAAAGAGTCATGTGGAAAATCGGCTGCTGACCCCAGTTTGGAGAGAAACAGTGCGATCGCAGTTATTCTGGAGGATTCATCTCCAAACTTCTATGCCTAAATTTTGTTGCAACACGAGGAACAAAAAAGTGCGAAACACCGTTCGGGACATTCAGCTCCAGCAAACTCCGGCCTGTGACGACGTGTGACGTGATCGATATGAACAGAAAGTGCTGTAATGCAGGTATGAGAACTGAGCCAAAAACAGATGTATTTACTGTATTTCTACAATTGCATGAACGCAACAAAAGGAAAGTTAAACTTAAAGCATATATTGTAATGTATGGAATACATGTACGGTCTCTTTAAGAGACACCTGCGCAAGGTATTGTGGGATGCGCTTTACCCCATGTAAACGAGTGTTGCGCGGGATTCTGTTCATTAAAAGTACACACGAAGTAAGCTCCTGGTCTCGTCTCTTTATATATGTCGTATAAGCTAATACAGACATTACATGGTGTCAGAAGTGGCCCGCATGCAGCCAGGATATCACCGCGATGGCGAAGTTTAACCCACCGAGTGAATTTAAGTTTGACCGACCTGCTGAATGGCTCGAATGGAAACAGAGATTTTCCCGCTATCGGCTTGCAACAAAACTCAGCAAGGACAGTGGCGAGATTCAAGTGAGTTCGCTCATCTATTCAATGGGGAGCGAGGCTGAAAAGATATTCACTTCGTTCAACCTAAGTGAAGACGAAAAGAAAAGCTACGAGGCGGTGCTTAAGAAGTTTGACGAGTACTTTATTCCCCGCCGCAACATCATACATGAGCGGGCTTGTTTCTATCAGCGCGGCCAGCAGCCCGGGGAAACGGCAGAGCAGTATATCCGTGTTTTGTACGAGGTGGCGGAGCATTGCGAGTTTGGCGATAAGCGGGATGAGCACATCAGAGATCGCTTGGTAGTGGGCATTCAAGATAAAGAGCTGTCCCGTAAGTTCCAACTCAAAGCAGACCTGACGTTACAAGAGGTGACTGAACAAATTCGCCAGGCAGAAGAGATCAACAAGCACGTCAGCCTCCAGTCCAGCGCGCCAGAGGCCATGGCGGTGAACATGGTCCGGCGGCAGAGCGGACCTCACACGGACAGACCGGGGCGTTATAGACCGCGCCAAGATGCAAGCAGCCGGCAGGAAACATACAAAATGGAGGGCTGCGGGAAATGCGGTAAGCCCAAACATTCGGACATAAAAAAATGCCCTGCACTTAAGAGCAAGTGTAATAAGTGTCAAAAACAAGGGCACTGGGAGCGAGTGTGTCACTCTAAGGCTGTAAGAGAAATCACTGAAGAGTCGGAGCAGACATACTTCCTTGGAGAAATTAACAATAAAACTGATCGAGATAAATGGACAGTAGACTTGGACATAAATGATGTGCTGACAACATTTAAAATAGACACTGGTGCAGATGTTACAGTCGTCAATCAGAGCACATACAAGATGATGAAGCCAAAAATTGAGCTGCAACTACCAAACACCAGGTTTGTGAGTCCAGGCGGAGATCTCAAATGCATGGGGCTGTTCCAGGCTACCACCAAGTATAAAGAGCAGCAGTACACGTTCAATGTTTATGTCATAGAAGGGAAAGTCAGCTGCTTACTGGGGCGCCATGAGGCAGTGGAGATGGGCCTTGTGATAAGAGTGAACGAGGTCAGTACTGTTTTCAGCTCAGGTGGACTGCTGGACACAGAGCCAGTGAAGATAGTTCTACAAGAGGGTGCCCAGCCATATGCAGTACATACAGCCAGACGGATTCCCCTGCCCCTCGTCCCTCTGGTAAAGAAGGAGCTGCACCGAATGGAAAGCGAAGGCATCATTGAAAAGGTGACCAAGCCAACAGAGTGGTGTGCAGCCATGGTGCCGGTGCTCAAGCCCAACCGGGAGGAGGTGCGCTGTTGTGCAGATCTCAGGAAGCTTAACCGTGCTGTGCAGCGTGAAAAATATGTCCTGCCCACTGTGGAAGAGATTTTGCCCAGGCTGGCCGGATCCAGAGTCTTTACTTCACTAGATGCAGCCAGTGGTTTTTACCAGATACCGCTACACAAGGACAGTCAAAAGCTCACAACTTTCATTACTCCATTTGGGAGGTACGCATTTCGGCGGCTCCCATTCGGGATCACAAGTGCACCAGAGATTTTCCAAAGGAAAATGGCGGAAACTCTGGCAGGACTCGAAGGGACTGAAGTGTACATGGATGATATCCTCATTCACGGAGAGAATGTGGAAATCCACGACCAGCGCTTGGCGAAGGCTCTGGCAGTCATCAAGGCAGCAGGGCTCAAGTTGAATGAACGCAAGTGCAAGTTTCGGCGGGACCAGATTCGCTTCCTCGGACACGTCCTCGACAAGAACGGCGTTCGTCCTGACCCGGACAAAGTCGCAGGGATTGAGAATTTCCCTCAGCCACAGAACATCACCGAGCTGAAAAGGTTCCTTGGTATGGTGAATTATTTGGCTAAATATGTTCCAGAACTGTCTACTGTGGGCCAGCCACTCTACGCGCTGCTTAAGGGAAACGTAGAGTGGGGTTGGGAGCCTGCCCAGCTCACAGCTTTTCAAAACCTCAAGGCTTTGTTGGCCGCAGCCCCAGTTCTTGTTTTTTATGATGTTAACAAACCAACTGTAGTTTCAGCAGACGCGAGCAGTTACGGACTGGGAGCTGTTTTACTACAGCAGCACGGGGACCGATGGAAACCCGTGGCCTACGCATCCAGACGACTCAGCGACACGGAGACCAGGTACGCTGAAATTGAAAAAGAGTGCCTGGCCAGTGTCTGGGCGTGCGAAAGGTTCGAAAAGAACCTTTTTGGACTCGACAACTTCAGACTGGTAACCGACCACAAGCCCCTCGTACCCTTGATTAACTGCAAGGACCTGGACAACGTTCCCATCAGGTGCCAGCGACTGTTAATGAGACTCATGCGCTTTAATGGTATTGCAGAGTATGCACCAGGTAAAACTCTAGCAGTAGCCGACGCTTTGTCTCGGGGCCCAGAGCAGAGTTACGGAGATGAGAATTCCCACCAAGACGTAGCAGCACACATAGATGTAGTCATTAGTCAGGTGCCAGCCACCTCTCAGAGAATCAGTGAGATCAGGGAGAGCACTGCTAATGATCCACAGCTACAGACTGTTCGTAGTTTTATCAAATCAGGGTGGCCAGAGTACATAGACAAGGTACCGTTGTCAGTCAGAGACTTCTATGATGTGAGAGGAGAGCTATCTGAGCTAGATGGCCTGATAGTGAGAAGGAGCCGTATTGTGATTCCTGTAAACATGAGAGTAATGGTCCTAGACAGAATTCACGACGGGCACCAGGGTCTAACTAAGTGTAGAGAAAGAGCTTTACAGTCGGTTTGGTGGCCCAAAATGAGACAGGACATTTCTATGAAGGTGCAGCAATGTCAGTACTGTACAGAGAACAGAAACACACAACGAAAAGAGCCCTTACTTCCAAGTATACTCCCATCCAGGCCATGGCAGAAGATAGCAGTAGATCTATGCGAGTTCAAAAAGCAGAACTACTTAGTTGTATCTGACTATTTTTCTAGATTTTTAGAAAAACTGAATTTACCCACTACTACAAGCAGCCAGGTTGTGTCTAGACTTAAGGCTACTTTGGCACGTTATGGCATCCCAGAGGTGATAGTTAGTGACAACGGGCCACAGCTAGCCTCTGCAGAGATGAAGGACTTTAGTAGGGAGTATGACTTTGCCCATGTCACGTCATCTCCACACTTCCCTCAGAGCAACGGACATGCGGAGCGAGCTGTCCAGATTGCAAAGAATATCTTGAGACAGAACGATCCCCTACTGGCCCTCATGACATACAGGGCCACTCCCAACTCTTCCACTGGAGCCAGCCCCGCTGAACTGTTGATGGGAAGGAAACTTAGAACCACCTTGCCTATTCTACAGGACAACCTGAAACCAGGCTGGCCTGATATGGACAAAATCCAACAGGCTGATGCCTCAGCTAAACAGAAGCAGGCACACTTCTACAATCGCAGACACGGAGTGCGTTGTCTGCCACCACTGAGCCCAGGGGACCCTGTGCTTACTAAACTGGATGGACAAAAACAGTGGACGAGGCCAGCTGTCATTCAAGGTACCAGCTCCACTCCCAGGTCTTATATAGTGGAGACTGCACAGGGTGAGCGCTACAGGAGGAATAGGCGCCACCTGCTAGCCGTACCTCACAGGGCCACACCTGAAAATGTGGATCCTGTTGCAAACTCACAGACTGTGGACTCTGAGATGACCAACAAGGAGCCCGCAGTTATTACACCAGAGACTGTTACATCCGGATCCGGGATGACTCGCTCTGGTAGAGTTAGCAGACCAGCAGCTAAACTTGACTTGTAAGTAATCAGACTGTAGAGCAGTTTTACGCCTATAGCTAATGTTTAAGTCCGCACAGCTTTTGTTATACCTTTGGTTCTTTGGGGGTTTATAAGTAAGTGTCCTCTTTCTATTTGGGGAGAATGGTGGGTGAGCATAAAATTGGAAATGTTCTGTTGATACTTTCATAGTAGTACCGGCCTAATGCGTTGGAAATTTGAATTGAATATTCTTGTGTAGCATCCTGATGTTTGGGGATTTGTGCTACAAGAACATACATTTAAAATGGTGTTAATACATGGGTAAATCATCTGTAAGAAGGGGAGATGTAATGTATGGAATACATGTACGGTCTCTTTAAGAGACACCTGCGCAAGGTATTGTGGGATGCGCTTTACCCCATGTAAACGAGTGTTACGCGGGATTCTGTTCATTAAAAGTACACACGAAGTAAGCTCCTGGTCTCGTCTCTTTATATATGTCGTATAAGCTAATACAGACATTACATATATGGTATAGCAGAGTAGTCACATGGTGCGTCACTCTCTTGCACTACAGTGAAAATGTATATATATATAATAATCATGAATGCATATTCAAATTCAAATTTATTTATAAAGCACAATTCATACAGTGTAACCCAAAGTGCTTCACAAGCAAAAAAACAGTGTATATGCATATAAAATATTGTAATAAAAAGTTAAAAGTTACGAACATTTAAAAAATAAATACTTCAGATTAGTCATATGCATACCTGAATAAGACAGTTTTCAGCCTGGACTTAAACATTGCCAGGGTCGAGGCCTGTCTCACAAGCTCAGGGAGACTGTTCCAAATTCTGGCTGCATAAATTTGAAATGCCGCCTCCCCATGTCCAGTCCTGACCCTAGGCACCAGCAGGAGGCCAGTCCCTGTGCTCCGCAGTGTCCTAGCCGGCTCATATGGCGCTAACATTTCTCGAATATACTGTGGTGCGAGGCCATGAAGAGACTTATACACAAGTAGAGCTGCTTTAAAATCAACTCTCTGAGCCACAGGAAGCCAGTGCAGAGACTTAAGAACTGGACTAATGTGGTCGTACTTCCTGGTTCCAGTCAGGACTCGAGCCGCTGCATTTTGGATGTACTGCAGCTGCTTTACAGCCTGTTTGGAGAGACCTGTGAGCAGGCCATTACAGTAGTCTAACCTACTGGAGACAAAAGCATGGATAAGTCTTTCTAAGTCAGGTTTAGACACAATACCTTTGATTCTGGAAATGTTTTTTAAATGATAAAAAGCCACTGATGTTATTGAATTTATGTGCCGCTGAAAATTCAGCTCTGTGTCCAGGACTACCCCAAGATTTCTAACCTGATTTACAGGTTTCAGGGAGAGAGACTGCAGGTAACTGGTGACAGTTTCTCTTTGCTTCTGAGGTCCAAAGACAATTGTTTTGTTTTATCCGAATTAAGTTGCAGAAAATTGCTTTGCATCCACACACCGATTTGCTGGATACAATGGCAGAGTGAGTCCAATGGTCCATATTCTCCTGAAGTTAGTGAGACGTAGAGCTGAGTATCATCAGCATAATTGTGATAAGAAACATTTTCATTGTGAATTAACTGGCCAAGTGGTAACATGTAAAGATTAAATAACAGAGGTCCTAGGATTGACCCCTGTGGTACTCCACAAGTCAAGGCAATGTGGTCTGAAACACAATTTCCAATCTCAACATAGTACATTCTATCCTCTAGATAGGACCTACACCACTCTAGAGCCATGCCAGAGATCCCCACCCAGTTCTCCAGTCTCTGTAAAAGGATTTCATGATCCACAGTATCAAATGCTGCACTTAAATCTAATAAAACTAGCACTGAGACTTTGCCAGCGTCCGTGTTCAAACGTATGTCATTTACCACTTTAATTAGGGCAGTCTCTGTGCTATGGTTTGGTCTAAAACCAGATTGGAACACATCAAATGAGTTGTTTGATAATAAAAATCTCATCAGTTGTTGATAGACAACTTTTTCCAGAACCTTACTCACAAAAGGAAGATTTGAGATGGGCCGATAATTATTTAATACTGCGGCATCAAGGTTACTTTTTTTAAGGAGGGGCTTGATGACCGCAGTTTTAAGGCTCTTCGGGAATGTTCCGGACTCTAGTGACGAATTTACAATTCTGGTGATTGATGGTAACAAGCTGCTTACAACAGATTTTAAAAATGTTGTGGGTAAAAAGTCAACGCTGCAGGTAGATGAACTCAGTTTAAAAATTATATCATGGATCATGTTTTCATTAACGGGTGAAAAGCAGGACAGCTCCAAATGCTTAGGTGGCTGTGGATTCACTGTATGTGATGTGAACTGAATTGAGTTTTTAATACCTTGAACCTTTTCTTTGAAAAATATTGCCAACTCATTGCATTTCAGTGTTGTGTTTAATTCTAATGGCAAATGAGCTGGAGGATTGACTAAATTGTTCACTGTTTTAAACAGGACACGGGAGTTATTATCAGACTTTCCAATAAGCTGAGAGAAAAAACTCTCTCTTGTTAAGCGTAAGGTTTGATTGTACTCATGTAATTTTACTTTGTACATTTTCTGATGTGCCTCAACCCTTGACTTGCGCCATTTGCGTTCAGCTTTACGGCATTCCATTTTCTTTGCCCTGACAGCAGGTTCACTCCTCCATGGCGCTTTTTTCTTATTTCTAACCATTTTAACTTTAAGAGGGGCAATGGTGTCTAATAGAGTCACAGAATTATGAGTGACAGACTCTAAAATGTCATCAACAGTGAGACAAGAGGCATGGTCAAATTGAATATGATCAATAAAAAGTGCACTAGTCTTTTCATTAATGTGTCTTCTACGGATAACTGCAGACCCATTGAGTGGCTTGGGCGTAACAGATAGGTCGAAGAAGACACAGAAGTGATCAGATATTGCAACATCAACAACATTTAAATTTGGAATGTTAACACCCTTGGTGATCACTAGATCTAAAGTGTGTCCTTTCCTGTGAGTGGGGCCACTAACATGCTGTGTGAGACCAAAGTTTTTATGGACAGTATTGAGCTCTTTTGTATTTCTATTAGAAACATCGTCCACATGCACATTAAAATCACCTGTAATGATCAGGGCATCAAAATCTACACATACAACTGTAAGCATTTGGATAAAATCATCAATAAAATTCTGAGTGTGCTGGGGGGGTTTGTAAATAACCACATAGAGTATGGAAGGAGATCTTTTCTGTTCCATTTTGAACGACACATATTCAAATGATGAAAAATCCCCAAATGACATTCGCCGGGTAACCATACTATTCCTAAACAAAGCGCATACACCTCCACCTTTTCTACTTGCACGCGCTTCAAATTCAAATGTGTAATTGGGGGGAGCAGATTCTATTAGGACTGTGTTTCCTGTGTCTATGTCAAGCCACGCTTCAGTTAAAAACATAAAATCAAGATTATAAAAAGATATGAAGTCATTGATTAAGAATGATTTGTTACAAAGTGATCTAACATTAAGAACAGCAAGCTTCAGATCACTTTCTGTGGAACGTGACAATGCATGTGTACAGGGGATATTAATCAGGTTCCTTTGATTTGACGTTCTAACAGTTTTCCTGGTATTCAATCTTGGTACAGTCTTTACACAGGGAATGTGACTTTCCACTGGTCGAGATGCGATGCCTTGCAATGGTATATCACCATTGAGAAGATAGGGGTCACTGTTCGTGTTGTTGTACTCACCCGGTGAAGAGGAAGTAGAGAGGGGCGGTGAAGGTGGAGGCTGTGATGTAAACTAAAATATTATGTATTTGTAGCCTATACTTACTCATTTTGATAGTAGGCTAATACAGCTTACAGCCTGTGTTGCTTTCATATAAACCTTAAAAAAGGCAGTAAAGTTTATGCGGCTCCAGACAGATTTGTTTTTTTTATTTTTGCTCAAATATGGCTCTTTGAACTTTTTGAGTTGCCGACCCCTGACATACGGTATTTACATATTTGAAAGTGTTCACAGTTGTGTTTATAGTCAAGCACTATAACAAACAGTAAGTGCAAGTCAAAACATTGAACTTTAGCTTTCCAAACGAAGCAGATTTCCATTCTTAACAAGCACCACATCAAACTACAAACATTTTGCTGTCTTTCCATCAGTCTAAAGGCAAACCAGCCAAATCTTCCCTCCCACATTTATTTATTTTTTCAACGTCTTCAGGCATTTACATAATTTTCAACATGCTTGATTACTAATGTATCTATGTATAAAATGTCACACATAGGATATAAACTTTGAAATAAGCTTATTTTCACTGGTTGTCATTGACAGAGGATTTGTAATGCGACCTGTGGTATAATCCATGTCGTACTCGACAGATGGCCTCCTACCTCTCAGGTGTGCACCTGTGTCATAAATCCCACATTAAAACTGTCGCACTCTGTCTGATAATGTGCTTTGCTAACAGGATTGTGGAAAACAAGCTTCAGAGTCTACAGATCACTCCTCAAGAATGTCTTATACTTTTTCATTTCCTGGTCCGGTGCCAAAACAGTGCAAACCAGCGCGCACAGAGAAGTCATGAACTTCAGCATCAGAGAAGGATTTCCCTTTTAGATTTGGTCAATAATCATACGACCATCTGCTGGCTTCAGAAATATGTCCAGACTTGCTGTCACACAAACTGAATAACAAAAAGCCGATCCTTTTGACAATTTAAGCCAATGCAGCTATGGCGCCAAGTCATCTCAAAACTTAAGTCTTATATATATATTAC